TTGAGTCTCGTCCAGGCTGGGGGTGACAGGCGGGTGGGCGGGTGACAGGCAGGGCAGGGAGATTTAGCCGGACACTGGTGTGCAGCAGCCTGTGTGGTCCCAGGGAGACGTGGGGACTTTGGGGACTCATCGCAGGGCCGGCTGTGGAGCTCGCCATGGGCAGCAAGCAGACAGTCTTCACGCATGAGCAGTTGGAGGCCTACCAGGTAGGGGCTGGGCCAGGCCCTCGGATCTCCAGTCTGAGAAATGGGGACAGCACCGCTGTAGCCTGGGTGCGACGCTGGGTACAGAGGCTGGGGAAGCAGAAGGGAGCCTGAGGGGCAGGGTAAGGACCACGCTGGCGTCTCTTCCACAGGACTGCACCTTCTTCACGAGGAAGGAGATCATGAGGTCAGTCCGGGGGTGAAGGGAGGGTGCTTGGAAATGCTGCCGGTCTGTCTGCTTGGCCGGCTTCATGCTTGGTCAAGGGTCAAGTGCTGCTGGGAGGGTGTGGGGGGCGGGTGGTCACCAACAAGATTCAGCAGACGGAGGCAGGGAGGAGTACTCCCATCTTGCCATATCCTTACATGATGACCTGGAAACTCCTTTCTGATCATTTCTAGAGGAGATCTGTAAACGGAGAGGCTCGGAGGCTTGGTAAGGCTAAAGAGTGGTTGTGGGGGCTGCAGGCATGGTGGGTAGAAGGAGCAGAGGAGTCCCATCTCATCATATGACCACGGCCTCCCAGCTGATGGGTGTGGGCTTCTCTGGGGGGTGCTGGGGAGCCACAGGGGGAATGGGAGCAGGAGAGGCCAGAGCCAGGAAGCAGGACCTGGAGGCCAGAGCTAGGTCAGGGTCCTGGACTGGCATCTAAGTGGGGGAGCCTGGAGGCGGCTGGGAACCCAGGGCGATGGTCCCGGGCTTCCACATGACCACTCGTCCCGCAGGGGCCATTGTGTACGGGCCTTGACCATGACCTTGGAGCTGTGAAACCCAAGCTGGCCCCGGTTCGGCTGCAGTGCAATTGGGGTCGAGGCCCCAATTGTGTGGACACGGGCATCCATTATTGATGGCGCCACCTTTTGCCAGTGAGCCCCATTGTCTGGGTGAGGACAGCTCGCAGGTCATCCTGGCCACCAGGATCAGATTACTGATGGGGAAACTGAGGCCCAGCCAGGGCTGACACACAGCCCCAGAGCAGAGGGGCAGAGGGCTGACATTTCATCTGTCCCAAGCATCTTGTTTTGAAAAACAAACTAACCAAGGCCCAGAGGAGGAGGGGGTCTGGTCCAAGGTCACACAGGAAGCCCAATCCAGGCTGTCCCCTGAAGGGGCACTGCTAGGGGCCTGGGTGGTCAGGACTGAAGTTCTAAAACTCCTTTACCTGGAGTTCCCAGTCATCTTATGACCCAGAGGCTTTTGGGCCCCCACTAAGAGAGAGTTGCTAGAAACTTGGCGATCCCAGACCCATCAAGAGGGTCTCTGCTACTCAGTATACCACAATGCAGGTATGGCGTCACCAGGTGAGGGTACTGAGTTACGAGAGAGTTGGTCTTCCAATTGAGCTAGTGTGGCATTCAACCCATGCTTTGCCGATCGCCTTCCTTGTGCCCTCTTGAGAAACTTGCATCTCAACCCTTTCCTTCTGCTCTAGAGACCCTGCCTCCAGTTTTGGATGGAGAAAAAGGACGGTGTGTTGAGGGGGGTCTTTAGAGGCAGGGTCTTGCAGATGTTGTGGTCATGGCCAGAGATTCACAGATGAGTTCAAATTCGCCAAATACTGACCCTAAACCGTAAATCTTTATGGGAGCAGAAAGCCTCATCTTTCTCCTAAGGAGCAGCTGGTGGGTTTGAACTGCTGACCCTGCGCTAGCAGCTCAAAGGGTAACCCACTACACCACCAGGGCTCTTTATATTCCCAGAATGTAAACCCATTCCACCTTGCACATCTTTCCTTCTGCTAATCCTGCCTGTCTGGTGAGCTCCTACTCATGCGTCAAAGCCCAGCACCAATGTCCCAACCTCCAGGAAGCCCTTCCTCCTCCCTGGATTTCTTCCTTCACTCAGGCTCCCCCAGCCCTGGGACCCTCACCATCCAACAACCCAGGGGTTCTGTGACCACTAAGAAAAGTTGCTAGAGAGGAGCTGATGTCAGGGGCTTAAGGGGAGAGGAAATGTTTTGAGAATGACGAGGGCGATGAATGTACAAATGTGCTTTACACAATTGATGTATGTATGGATTGTGATAAGAGTTGTATGTGCCCCTAATAAAATGATTTAAAAAAAATAAGAGACAGGAAAGAAAGAAAAGAAAAGAAAAGTTGCTAGAAACTTGGTACCCCAAACTCAGCAAGGACGGTCCCTAGAAGACTAGTTACTGCTCAGGATGCCCGTGCAGGGGTGCCCCGGGTGAGGGCATTGAGCGGAGAGCGCTCACATGTAGGTACTGAGGCAGGTGGACTTACTTGTATCTGGCTCCATCTGCTCAAAGTCTAGGCCTGGGGCTGATGGCTCTTGGGCGAAGAGCATTTTTGGGGTGTGGGGTATACAGCTGCAAGTGTGAGAGAGGAGGGTCAAGGTCCAGCTCCTTCACCAGCCCTTCCTGCCCGCCCCCCTCCCCCCTCCGCCCAGGCTCTTCTATCGCTACCAGGACCTGGCCCCACAGCTGGTCCCTCTAGACTACACCAACTATCCCAGTGTGAAGGTGCCCTACGAGCTCATCGGCAGCATGCCGGAGCTGAAGGTATGCCTTGGCTGGGGAGGGGGAGACAGGGGCGGGGCAGGGAGGGGGTCTGAACAGGGAGGTGCCACCACACAGCCCTGTGAGGCTGCTCTTGCCGTGAGGTGCTGTGGAGCCAGTCCCGACTCCTAGCAAGCTCGAGGACAAGAGAACAAAACTCCATTTGCTCCTGCGCCCTCCTCCCAAGAGTGGCTATGTTTGAGCCCATTGTTGTCCATCGACCTCCTCGGCCCTCTACCAAGCGGGACGTCCTTCTCCCTCCTGCGCAGAGGTTCCCAGGAGGTGAGAGAGACCAAGTCTCTTTCAGGGTCTTCCTACCTTCTTTCTTTCTTTTAAAAAAAAATCATTTTATTGGGGGCTCATACAACTCTGATCGCAATCCATGCAGACATCGATTGTGCATGTTGACGCTCTGCTTTATCAAGCATGCGGTCAGTCTCCGGGGCCAGGTCCCTTCTGATAACCGGTCCAAGCCAAAGTGTATGAGACGGAGCCAGCCTTGCCTCAAATAAGCCTTCTGGCTTGCGCTTCCTCCGAGACAGATTTATGTGGGCGTCTGGCAGCCCCTGGTGCTTTCGATAGTCATCACCAGCACCACTGCTCAGATGCACGGATTCTTCCCTGGCCTTGGCTTGTTGTCCGGCTTTCAAAGGTCTCGGAGGAGCTTGACAGTGGCATGACGTAGTTCATGAGGTGGGTGGTGGTCACCTAATCTGGTGTCAATTTAAGGATGAAGAGCATAAGGGTGGAGTCTAGGCTGTCAATCTGGAGATAGCCAATGAGACTTCTGTGTGGGCATGGCCTTCTCCTGAGAATTCTGGGAAATCTGGTACCTCCTCCTTGGAATTGGAAGACACCTCTCTCTCTGCTACTCCCTGGGAGATATTGCAGAAGACAAGCCGCATGGACGCAACCAGACCTTGGAAGCTGGAGAGGCCACAGAGACCCCTGTCAGCGCTGAGATGTTTACAACGCCACTGGCCCCAAAGACTTTCTATCCACTGGCTTGTGATTGTCCTGCATTTGGCTTCATTGCATGTGTTTCCTGAGTCTGAGGAGGACTTTATAGATTGGTATCGGACATATGGGGGAATATCAGACTTATGGCCTTGGACTGGACTGGGTTGGGATGTTTTCTCAATGTTCAGTTGCTCTTGTATATAAACCTCTCCCTTATATACATATCCGTGTTTATGAATTTGTTTCTCTAGTCTACCCAGACTAACACAAGGTGGGTGCTGCAATGACCCTCACTTTACAGAGGTGGGAACTGAGGCTCAGAGAGGCTGAAACACTTGCTCAAAGTGACACAGCCTAGCCGGGCAGAGACAAGAACCACATCCGGGGTTGTTGGGAGGATGGAATGAGAAAATACTGGGAAAGGGCCTTGTGTTGGGTTGGGTTGACGAAAGAAAGAAATCCAGCAACACTCATATATGTGCAAGAGACAGCGTTATGTCAAGAAGTCCTTATTTATCGAGAAAACATCTCCGCCCAGTCCAACGCAAGTCCATAAGCCCAATACTAGTCCACAAGTCCTTCTTCAGGCTCAGGAAGCCCCGTGCAGCGATTCAGAATGTAGATCACAGGTCTGGCATGCAGAGTTGTATGGGTCCAAAGGTGGGCGGCCACATCACAGGGTTCTGCAGGTGCCTCGTCAACAGGCAGGTGAAAGCAGAGAGAGAGAGAGGAAGTTCCAGGATCTTCCTTATGAGAAGACCACGCCCACAAGGAGTCACCATCAGGCTGCGACCTGATTGACAGGCTAACCTCCACCCCTACACTTTTATATCTTCAAGTTGACACGGAATCCATGCAACTACCCCAGGCCTGTTGTGTGGCAAGTGGCCAGGGACTACTGGTTGTTTTTGTGTCATTGTTGCTGGTTGCTGTCAGGGTGGCCCTCCACCCCCCACGATCCCAGGCACAAGAGAGCACAGCTCTGCCCGGCCCTGCGCCACCTTCGCGATGCCCAGCTGCTCCAGGCCATGGTTGTGCTCATCTTGAATTCTGAAGGCTTGCCAACCTAAGGGGTAAACTAAAACCCATGGCCACGGAGTCGATGCTGACTCATCATGACCCTATAGGACTGGCCGCTGTGGGTTTCCGAGACTGCACATCTTCCTGGGGGCAGAAAGCCTCATCTTTCTCCCGCGGAGCAACTACTGACCTTGCCGTTAGTAGCTCAACAGGCGTAGCCCACTAGGCCACCGGGCTCCTTCTTTTCAGAGGAGGAAGCTGTTAAGGAAAAGCCTTTCTCCGGCGGATGTTTCGTCTCGACAGTGCTTGTAGGCTGAGGGACTGACTGACTGGGAGTTGGGATGACTTGATTGCGAGCGACAGAACCTTCTTTCAAGAGGGACAGAAAGATTGGCTCGTGGAGCCAAAGTAACACACAGGGCGGGGCTGGTTTCAGGTCCAGTTGGAATCAGGGCCTTGGCAGTGGTGCTCAGAAATCTCCTACTACTTCTTGGCTGCCTTCCTGCCAGAAGGCTTTCATTTCAGCCCGCCTCTCTCCTCGAGATGGCCAGAGGAGGCGCCCAGAGCCTCTGCTTTCCCCTGCCAGCTTGGCAACTTTCAGAAAGCAGTACCCCCAGGGCAGCCTCTCATTGGCTAGTGATGGTCACATGCCCATCCCCGAGCCAACCATAGTGGCCCAGGGAATGGGATCCTCTGATTGGCTTCCCCTGGGTCCTGTTGACCCCGGGAATCTGAAGGGGGACAACCCTGCCCAGACCACATGGGTGGCAGATGGAGTTGCCTGCAGCCCGCACCCCAAAGGCCCTGGCTCCCCCCCGTCTCCAGGACAACCCTTTCCGCCAGAGGATTGCCCAGGTCTTCTCTGAGGATGGGGATGGACACATGACGTTGGACAACTTCCTGGACATGTTCTCTGTGATGAGTGAGATGGCTCCCCGAGACCTCAAAGCCTACTATGCTTTTAAGATTTACGGTGTGTGCACTGCCCTGGGGCTGGGGGCATGAGGGGGTGGGGTGGGATGAGGTCAGATCTCCGGGGGAGGCGCTGTGCCTTCACGGTGTCTCCTCTGCCCGCCACGTCCACCCCGGTACCTCAACTCCAGGCACACCGGTCTCCTCGCCGGTCCTCAGACCCTCGGTCCGCCGTGTGCCCGGCCGGTCTCTGTTGGGCCCTCTGCCTGGAACACCCTTGCTCTGGCTCCTTCTTATCCTAAAGACTCAGTGCTGTCTCCTCCCCCACCCCATGATCCTACTTCTCTCCCGACACAGAGCGAGGCTGTCGGTGCCTTGTTCATCGATCTACCCACATAGTCTCGACTTTCTGTTGAATGAGACTCCAGGACAGTGCCAATGATTGCTTCCTGTGCCTGGCAGAGGAATGAATGGGAAGCCATTATTGAAGCACCTGGTGCATAGTGGGTGCTCCGTTAAGTACTTACTGGACGAATGCTTGTGGGGTGAACGGATGAATGAGTGAAAGAAGAGCAGCCATCACAGTGGCAGGCACATAATAGGTGTTCCAAAGCATGTCTGACATGAATGGATGCTTGTGGAGTTAATGAGTGAGTGAGTGAGTGAAAAAAAAAGGTTATCATAATGCCTGGCACATAGTAGGTGCTTAATAAATATTTGTTCAATGAATGAGTGCTTATTGAGTGAGTGGGTGAATGAGTCAGTGAGCGCATGAATGAATGAATGAATGAATGCAAAGGTCATCACAGTGGCTGGCACATAGTAGGCGCTTAACAAATGCGTGTTGAAATAGCCCCTGGCTATTCCCAAAGCAAAGCCCAGATTCTGCCCCAGGGTCTTGGGTGACTTGCTTGTGCCTTGGTTTCCCCCTCCCGGGATGAGCCTGCCCGCCCCCACCCTCGCCCCGCCCCCACAGACTTCAACAATGATGACTACATATGTGCATGGGACCTGGAGCAGACGGTGAGCAGGCTGACGCGGGGGGAACTCAGCGCCGAGGAGGTGAGCCTGGTGTGTGAGAAGGTGCTGGACGAGGCGGACGGGGACCACGATGGGCGACTGTCCCTGGAAGACTTCCAGAACATGATCCTGCGGGCGCCTGATTTTCTCAGGTGCCACCTGGGGCTCCAGTCCTCCCCCCCCAAACCCCATCGATGTGTGAGACGGTCTAATGTTTGGGAAAACTCCTACATTCACTTCTTTGGGCGATGTGGAATTCTATCAGTCTTCCTGGGCCACAGTGCCCTCACCTGTGAAATGGGGATGACTAGACACCCCATGAGGTCTCTGAGTGGCATCAACATACCTAAAGGTCGTGCGGCAGGAAGGCCTGGCAATCTGCTTCCACAAAGACGGCAGCTAGAGCCCGTCTAGTCTGCACACGGGGGCTCGATAGGCATCAGGATGGACTGTCCAGCAATAGGCATTGGGTTTGTCGGGCACACACAGTCCTGGTGGCTGAGACCCGCTCTGTGCGCCAGTTCGGCACTCACTTGGCTAGAAAAGCTTGCATGCAACAGCGTGTGCCACTGTCCTTGGCTCCCCTGAGCCAAATCAGAGCCCTACCCTAAGGTCAGTTTATTTCTTCCAAGCCACTTCTGGCTGGCCTTGAACCTCTGACCTCTTGGTCTGCAGCTGAGTGTGCTCACGACCACTCAGGAGGGCAGGAGGAGCGCCCTACCCCTGATGGGCACCGTCTGGGTGTCTGCCCAGGTCTTTCCTCCGAGCCCTCACCCCTGCACCGTAAAGGTGGCCGGCTGGTGTCCCCTTTCCACGGAGCATTCAACTGAGGCCCAGAGAGGGAGAGGCATTTGCTCAGAGGCCCACAGCAAGTCTGGGGGTGGCGTCTCAGTGCAAACCCTAATCCAGAAAGTGTGCTAGGTACCCCTGTGGGACTTGAGGGGGGATGTCTTGGTCAAGGGCTCCCAGAGGAGTTCCTCTCCCACTGTCCCATGCAGCTTCCGGCCTGCCCAGGGGACCCTCAGCAGGGCGGGTGGGAGGACGAGGAACAGGAGGTTCCGCCCAAGACACTGACTGCTGTCCGCTTGCATACAGCACCTTCCACATCCGCATCTGAGCCAGGCCGGAGGAGGAGCTGGCTGACGAAAGCAGGGGTGCCCCCACCCCCAGTGGACTCTGGTCTCTGAGCTCCCAGAATAAACATGTGTTCCTGCATCAGGCCTGCTGTGAGGACTCACGCCGGAGGTGCAGTCATGCCCAGGGCCGCCCTGCAAGTTATTTGCAACTGCAGGATTTGAGGTCCACCTGGCTCTAGCTCCCAGAAGGCGATCCCCAACCCAAACCCACTGCCCTCAGGTGGACCCCAACACTGGGCGACCCCTGTGTGACTGAACAACAGAGGGCCCACAGGGTTTTCCTGGCCGTAATCTTCATGGAAGTCGATCACCAGGTCTTCCTTCCGCAGCACGGCTGGATGGGTTCGAACCGCCCACCTTTCTGGTAGGACTTGGACCAACCATTTGGGACATCCCAGGGGTCTCCTTGACTGACTGCACCTTGTGAATTTGAGAAGCCCTGCCCCAACTCCACCTATGATCACTCTGGGAACCAACCCTATAAGGTCCTAGCCCATCTGAGAGATGATCATTTTGGCAACGGAAACCAGGCCCCATGGACCTTCCTGTGTTGGGCCCTTCCTAGAACATTCTCTGTCACCCTTACGATCCCTGGCAGCACGATGGGTTGAGCAGCGGGTCCACTAGCTCGAGGCTGCCTGCTCCTGGAAAGATAGACAGACGAAGGGGCAGTTCCGCACTGCCCTGCGTGGTCACCAAGTCAGCACTGCCTCAAGGGTAGGGGTGTGGAGTTTGGGGTGAATCTTAACCTATGAAGCACCCACTGTCTTCGTTTTCTAACTCCCTGGGTGGCGCACACGGTTTGTGCTCCGCTACTCACTGCAAGGTCAGCAATTCAAACCAGCTGTGCAGCGGAAGAAAGGCCTGGCCAACTGCCGCCACAAAGAGAACAGCCAGGAAAACCCTGTGGGGCTCAGCCGGACTCTGTTCCACGGGCACGTCACACGCTGGGAGTCCACACGGGAACCGTGGGCTTGGTTGGCGTTTGTCTCGCTTTCTGGGGCTGCCGTCACAAGTAACAGTTGAGTGGCTGTAAGGGACTGGCATTCGTTTTCTCAGAGGCTTGGAGGCTTGTGGTTGGAGGGGGTGCCAGCTCCCCACCACTAATCACGGGTTCGATAGGCACAAATGTACGGTTGAGATATATAAATATTATATTAAAGTCATCGAGAGCATGAGAGATAAAAGAGAGATTGCAATAATGGAGTCAGGCACATTTCACGGTAGCAGTGCTCACCTCAGCCCTGCTTGGTGGTCCACGTGAGATAGGGGGAAGGGAAGGAGGACAAGGGGAAAGGGAACAGTGGACAGGAGAGGGGAGGGGGAACCGAGAGGTCAAGGGAAGAGCCAAGAGAGATCCTTATTGCTAACCCAGGCCTATATATCTTTGGGGGGAGTGCTAGCCCACCAATTACAGGTAAAGACATACGACACAGGAAGGGGTTGCACTATAGGTTATACAGCAATGAGAGGGGGACAATCTAGGGACATACACGCAATAGGAAGAGGAGGGATTGGGGGGTACACATGTGACAAGATGGGCGGATCCTAGATTCAGGATGGCAGCCTAACTTTGGATGTCACTGAGCAGGTTTGATCTGTTCTCCATAGAAACCATTATCAGTAGGGTGTAAACCCCACCTACGGAACCAAGCTAATGGTCACAAGCCTCTTGGGAGAAGTAGCCCATTGTCCTTAACAGCAGGGAGCAGGGCCTACCTTAGTCTAGTGACTGATTGCCTCCAGGGAGGATGTCTGTAAGCATATGACCTCCCCCCATATGCTAGCAACAAGCCCCTCATGTTTGGCATGTCTTTGGGGGAGACCAAGCTAGGCAAAAGTCTCTTTATAATCCCACAGAGGCTACGAGCCCCAGCCAGGGAACTGGCTGTGCCACTTCCTCCTGGGGACTTTTCCCCTGTGGCCTCGTATCTGCTGTGATCCTTGCTACTTAGAGATGGGTCTGCCCCTCATCATCATACAGCCCCCACCCCAATCCACCACCACCACCACCACTGGGTTTCCTCCTTTTAAAGGCAACCACTCAGAAGAGACTAGGTTTAGGTCCCACCTTACTAAGGTGGAGCTGTGTGCTATCCGGTGGTGCGAAACGCCCTGGTTAGGAGCTGGCTGAAAGTCAGGTGTGCGTGCCCATCCCCCAAGTTTCCTGTTCCCTGACACACTTCCAGGAACCCGGGTAGCGTGTCGGTGAGCGTAGGAGGGCTAACCATTAGGCTGGTGGTTCCCATCGGCTACTCCATGGGAACGAGTCGAGGCTGTCTGCTCCCGCGGAGACGGACAAAGTCCGGAAGCCCTGGAGTCAGAATCGACGGCCGTGAGCTTGGTGGGGTTCATTCGCTACAGTTGACCTCGCTAACATAACAAACTTTCCAACGGGGGCTCAGGCCCAGGCCCAGGAGTCAGGACTCGGAAACATCTTTTGGGGGCACGCGATCAGTAACATCTCAGAGGAGCTGAAGGTGGACACCTCTGTGAGTTCGGCCAAGGAGGGGCTGCGCATGTCAACCATTCCTTAGGATGGGGAAACTGAGGCGTGGAGAGGCCCAGCAACTCCCCAAGAGGTACCCTTGGGGGACTCACTGGATGTCCAGAGAGCCTTCAGGGCGCCAGCTCTCACCACGCTGCACCTCGTTCACCTGCTGGGCGTCCTGAGAAGACCATCCATTTAAAGGTGCCGATGGACTCCACCCAGGAGCCGCGTTGGCTGGCAAGGGGTCCTGCCATGCGATTTTAGACCAGAGACCAGGTGACCTGTGGAAGGAACTCAGAACGGGCATGCCTCTCCTCCTCCCTGACCCCCAGCCTCCCTTCGAAAATGCAGACATTGCATTTAGCGGGCCTGCCCAGAAGCACGAGAGAGGGAGTGAACCTCAAGGCCAGGTGCACGGCAGGTGCCCACAGCACTGCCGCTGCTTATGGCTTAAAATAGCCAGGCTGTTTGCAGGTGCAAGACCAAATCTTAAAAAAAGCCTTTATTTCATCGCCAAGGGTCTGCAGGCTGGCACAGTGCAGTGAGCAAGGGGCCCAAGGTGGGCAGCCCACGCGGGGCTTGAGGGTCCCAGAGTGGGTGGACCCTCCTCTAGCAGTATCCAGGGGCGAATGGTGGGGGTGGGCGGTACTCCTCAGGCAGCCAGTCCTGGGGTTCCTCCACGCCTCTTGTCTCTTGGTTGGTTACCTGCAGTGACTTCGACGTCACTACTGTTCTGTGCAGCCCTCGGCCCCCCGGGGAAACTCCGCTCCAACTGCCTGCCCTCAGGGCCTCCCTGGGAAAGGCATTTCTGTCTCTGGGAGACCTGGGGGCTGCGTGGGCCCCCTCAAAGGGTTCTCTATAGAAGTGGTCCTCCTGGTTCGCAGCCTCCTCGTGGCCGTTGCCTGCGACCTCTAAGCCGCCGGCGGCAGTGGCCACGGGCAAGCTGGTGTCTGAGAACAACGGCAAGCTCACGGCTGTCAGGTGGGATTTCAGCTGCTGCTGGGCCCTCCTGCCCGCTTTGGGGAGCGTCTTGAGGCGCTTCCAGAGTTTCTGGCGGGCATCTGACAGGGGAGCTTTCGGGGGGCCAGAAGAGGCGAGGCTCCCCGGGGGTGCTCTGTCCATCTCAGCTGAAGCCTGCCTTTCCTCTGGCCAGTGGAGCATGCCCGGTTTCGGGGAGGTCTAGAAGGAAAAAGAGCGAAGACCTTTGACAAGATGGATCGACGTGGTGGCTGCGCCAGTGGGCTCAGACACGAACCGTTGTGCGGATGGCTCAGGACCAGACAGCATCTCACAGTCATCCACAGGGTCGCTATGAGTCGGGCCAGACTCAACGCCTCCCACCAGAAGGAAGAGAGGGGCCCAGGCATCACCTGGTTTAGGGCTTGGAGAGATGTGGCAGTGGGATTCCTTCTACCCTGTCCTCTAGGGGGTTGCGATGAGTCCGCATCAACTCCACGGCAGTGGAGTTCGTTTGTTCTGGCTTAATCTGTACCGAAGTCCGCTGCTGCCTCTTTCTCCCACAGTGCAAGTCTTTGGGAGGAGATTCCACGAAACACCACTAGGGGACCCAGAGAGCTGAACGAGAGAAACTGGCCAATGAATGTGGAGTCACAGGGGGGACTCTGTGGGCTAGGGCCTAATCCATCCTCTAGGACCGCTCTGGGGAATGGGCGTGATGCGTTCAATGATCCCTCACCTGCTGAGCCTCTGCGTCTGGCCTGAAGGACTGGAGCCTGGGTGCCCCCAAACCCCTGTGCTTGAGAAGTGTCCTGTTTTAACACCCGGAAGCAGATCCCACACCTTGACCTTTATGTCTTCAGAAGCGACTCCATCGTCTAGATCAAACCAAGGAAAAACCCCGCTACTGTGAGCCTATTCCAGCTCCTGCCACCCCATGTGGTTACAGAGCTGAACTGCTCCCCAGGGCGCATGCTCCCCACAGAAGGAGATCGTCTGGCCTTTCTTCCGCAGCACTGCCGGATGAGTTTGAACTGACAACCGGGAGTTGGGGGAAAGAGGTGTTTGTGTCTGTTTGCTTTACTGCCCAGGTAGTCAATGGTTTCAGCTCTGTAGGTCAGCTGGTGCCTGTCACAGCACCACAGCTCTGCCCCCAGAGCATGACGTGGCCCCCCCCAAACCAAACTCACTGCCACCGAGTCGGCTCCCACTGTAGTGGCCCTGTAGGACAGAGTCGAACTGCCCCTGTGGGTTTCGGAGACTGACTATGAGAGTAGAAAGCCTCGCCGCTCTCCTGGTGAGAGGCTGCTGGTTTCAAACCGCTGACCTGTGACTTGACAGACAGTCTGAGAGGGGAGACAGACTTCCCCTCCTGGGGAAGCCCAGGAGGCAGACTGCTCTGTCCTATCGGGTCACTGGGAGTTTGAATGGCAATGAGTTTGTTTTTACTGTTGTTGGTGATGGTTTTTACGAACCTACGAGCCCTGGTGGTATCGTGGTTAGGCACTGGGTTAGGACGATCTGCAAGGTCAACGGTTTGAAACCACCAGCCACTCCGCAGGAAAAAGACGAGGCGGTCTACTTCAGTAAAGAGTTATCGTCGTGGAAACCCACGGGGGACTTTCTGTAGGGTCGCCGTGAGTCAGAACCGACTCGATGGCAGTGAGTCTTGTTTTGCTTTTGTTTTAAAGGCTGGAAGTTGGGAACCACCCCATGGCAATCTGCTTCTGTTAAGACTACAGCCCAACTCCCTCAAACCACTGTTTGAGGTCGTTCACAGACAGGGAATCCATGGCGTGGACGTTAAATCACTTGCCGCGGGTAACCCGCTTCCTAGTTGGCAGAGCTGACATTCCGAATGTGCCCACCTCTGTACCAAGGGCTTTCTCTGTAATCCCACGCAGCCTCCCTAAGCAAGCACCGCGTGTCGGAGGGCAGCCTGACTTTCTAAGCAGGTGAGGCAGCCTGCTGGCCGTGGGGTGTTTGCCTTGAAGAGAAACCAGATAAGGCCCTCTAGGGACGAACACTGCCAGGGTGTCCCCGGCAGGCGCTGGAGTAGTTCTCGGCCCCAGCCAGAGCTATTGCTAAGCACACCAGGCCGGTTCCTGAGGTGCACCTCACCCAGGCCACCGTCTTTTCAGTTGCTTGGTGAACATTTACTATGGCCAGTCCTGTCACATCCACTCAACTCCCACCCCCCCATCCAACTGGGGCTGGAGACTCACAGCCTCAAAGCCTCCCACCTCTTACCTCCCAATGACTGACACTCTCTCTGTCCCTCTTTCTCTCTCTCTCTCTCACTCTCTCCACACACTGCCTGGCTTTGGTTCTCCCTGGGGTCCTGTCACACATTGACCCTCAGGACCTCTGCTGGTCCCACTGCCTGGAGCGCTCTCCCTGGCCCCTCCTCCTCCCCTTGCACATCTGCTGCAAGCCACCTCCTCCAGGAGCCATTCCCCAATGCGTCTGTCGGCCTCCCTGTGAGGCCCACCATCCTCAGGGGCACCCTGGCCCGAGAGGCTAAAACAGTCACTGGCAGCTAGCAGGTCCTCTCGGAAATGGGGTGGGGGGAGGGCTTCAGGCAACTGATTCCCAGGCCTCTGGGAGACTAGGGTTTGAGAGGAGAGGCAGATGACAGTCAGTCTGAGAGGGGAGACAGATGACAGTCAGTCTGAGAGG